CTGCATGTTAGGAGATTTTAAAATATCAGACTCTACTTAGTCAAGGAAAGTAACTCATACACAGTTTGTCGAAATGACACTTATTTTCAACTCGTTCGGAACTGGACCATATTTTGAGTAGGTTTTCAAAGCTGGGAAAATTATAAAATAGGCTTGTTTGTCGACAGGACCATATAATTTGTCTAAATTATAAAAAAAATTTAAGTCTATATCAAGAAACGCCTCAAGGTTATACCAAAATAATTCAATTGTTATGTAATTTGAACAAATTTTGAATACATACATCATATAAATTAGTATTGATAATAAAGAAATTATTGTATAAATTTCTGATAATAAAAATTTATTATAATTCAAAAACGGTTTTAATTCTGAATTGAACAATATGCCTTTTCATGACAAAAAAAAAATCATTATATTGTTCTATTCTGAGACCAGACTAAAAGCAGTGGACCACACCTATAGTTTTCATGCCCAATCTACAATAGATCGCGCGGTAAAATGTAGGACATCAAAAGTGGTTCATTGCTCAGGATATCCATGTTTAAAACCAATTATGTTTTTGCTTTGATTTTTTTTTTATTAAATGCATAATTTATGGACGTATATTTCCAATCTCTTTTGGTCGATGGACTTTCAATACTTACTTGAATTAACCTACTTTCTATATTTATTAACATTACGGTAACCTCCCCTGAAATATTTTAATAATATACGTTAAAACCGCTTAGCCTAGTCTCAATAAGATCATTCTTATCTGATTTGTATGCGTTTTAAGTCCACGAAAAGGTCTTAGAAATTTTCAGTTCAAACGCACCAGATTCAGCTTAGAAGTACTAAACAAGCCAGAGCTTTCATCAATCGTAGGTATAGAATGCTTTTGTGGATTTCTGATGTTATAATTATGTTTCAATGAACGATTTTTGATATTTGAGTAATATCATATAATTTGGGTGTTCGTCGGATACTCGCAAAAGCTACAATTTTCATCCGACAAGTTTCAAAAATTGTATGCAAACATAAACTGACGTGTCGTGATGACTGGATATGAATAAAACCTATCCTTTAATAGTAAAACAATTCGTAATTGAATAATATATCAATATATTGTCATCTTTGAAAAGAAAAGTGTCACCGCATCTCTTTTATCTTTTTGATTATAAAACCACTTCAAAGAACCATAATGTTAAAAGGTTACTGTGTTGGGGAAAAACAAACTAGTTCCGACTTATTGAAAACTTAAGGGTATTTTTTATAAATATTTAAGTTTGACTGAATATATTATAGAACATTATCACAAAGATTGTGAAGAAGAACGTCAATATGTGTCAACCTGTCAACACCCGTGCACTACATGGTTTGGACTGCCAATAACTTCTTGAAAGCGAATGAAATGCTTATACGAAAATGTGTGGTTCAAAACATCAGCATTATTAATGATTGTTTGACTGCATCGTAAAATAACGCTGGGCTAATTAGATAAAAATATGAAACCGAGCATATTGTATAATTTGCTAAAGGTACTTGTATGATTTTAAAAAAGCATTCGATCCCATATGGTACGTTAATTTCGAATTGTTACATATGATGATTACCAATACGGTATACGCCAAGGTTCACTCATTAGTTCTATCTTCTTTAGCTTTTATGCTAATAAAATTGCACATTGTGAAAGTATACATCTTGTGCTGAATGGCATTATATTGTAGACGCAATATTGATTGATATGTCAGTTTTCTAGTGCTGATTACTTTGAAATTTTTCAATATATGATAATATATCCAAATAGTCCAAATATTTCAGATAGCTCAAAGCTAAATTGAATATAATGCGATAAGTTAATAGGTTTATTTTTTGAGCTGATTAATTCCTTTGAAGTCTATAATATGATATTAATATAAGTAAATAAAGTGATAAAGTTCTCCTGATTAAATCTATAGTTAATATTATTTGTCTTTAATATTCACCAATAAACTTTTTAATCTTGAATCTTATTCTATTTACATAGCCTTCAGAAATACGGCGAGCCACAAATCTCTCTCTATTCTGTGTTATATCAGATATCGGAAGATGCGCCTCAGGCTTTATCTATAAAGCAAAAAATATAGCTCAACAAATTCATTAGTTATTGTTTTTCATGACTTTCCACCTTTCTTCTATTGCTATTGATCGTGTTCTCTCCCAGCTTTATTGTTTTAATATTCTTTGATATTGCCAAATTTTGAAATGATTTAATGTAAAGTGACGGCAGGTCCTGTCAAACTTGGTCTTTGATGTAAAATCTGATAGACTTGTATGGGTTTGGACAGAATCAATGTAAACTAGGTCTTTATAGTTTATATATTTAATGACTGTTTCTTGTCACCTTTCACTCATTTTTACTCTCCATTTCTTTAAGATGATTCTCATAATAAATTCTTATTTGATATAAATGTCGCCTTTACTTTGGGGTATTTGAGTCCATTTACAGTTATATACAATGATCTTGTTTATGTAAATACCTTCCAACAGTTTTAAAATTGATAAAAAAAGGTTTAGATAAGAACAACTGAATGATACATTGATTAAAAATATTTTATGTGGAATATTAATCATAAACCTGATTGATGTATGGGTACTACTATTTAGTGCATGTACTTTACAGTTATCAGCAATATTTAGTCTGCTGATCCTTCTGAAAATCTAAGAGACACTTTCTATCCCAGTATAAGTATTTCATACTGACAAATTACGTACAAGTACATTTCTTATCAGTTCCCGTTCTAGAATCTATAAACATGTGTTCTATATCGCTCTACAATTGATGTATTGAGCATTACCGTAAAATACTTTGTTATTGTATATTGTAAGGCACTTTCATGAAAATGTTTTGAATTCCAAGTATTTTATCTTTCGAAGTCCTATCTTAATAGCCGCAACACTTCTAATACAAATAACAAATTTTGAATTTGTATTAAAGTGTACTTCCTTAAAAGGACAGAGTCGCCATCCGATTGACCTTAGTCTCAGAAACGAGAATTCTTTTTTTAGCTAATCAGTAAAAGTGTTCACAACTCACCGTCGAAATTTGAGCCTTCAAATCAATATGTGTCCAGAATTATCCACGTTTGAAAGTAAAAAAGTCGACTCGACCTCAATAATCATTAACCCCCCAAATGGCGAAACTGGTCCTTTAAGTGGCGAATGAGGAATGAATAACGGTACACAATTTTTATATTGGTGAAAAATTGATAGATATATGTAAGGTGTGTAGAGGTTGATATAGTTTAAAAGATACAATGATAATGTATGGCTCTATCATATTTACATTAGTAATATATTACAGTCAGTATCTTGTTAATATTGTTGATTATTTACATATCTAATTGTTTTCTAACTGATATTATTGTTTTTATTATTCTAAAGAGCCCGGGTCATTAATACAATCAATTTGAATGATAAAATGATTTATCATACCTCACATTTTCCCCGTGTACTTGTAAGTTTATTATGGCTATTATTTATCTGGATACCTCACAGAGTTCATATTGTCACCGTCATTGACAATCACTAATGGTTGATTGATTTCCACAGACAAAAGAATATGTGTTTAGTTTTATTATAATTATTAATTACTATTCTATTCTAAGTTTTATGATTCCCGATATATAATACATACAGATAATTTTGTTGATCAGGCAGTTATCTGAATATTGCATGACATATTATATCGACCTGGCTCTTGTTAAAGTAAAATGCTTCTCAGAATATCAGAATTTAGAACGCGCCTTTGCATTATTATCAATTACTGTTGATGTATAAAAAATTAATAAAATGGGATCAATGTGAGTAAGTATACAGCACACCGAGTCTCTGCTACAAGTTTAGCGCGTAGAAGATTCATTTGGAATCGTAAAAAGGTTAGGCTAATGCCACTCTCTTGACCATATTTCCCTCTTTGCACATTGCAAGTTGTTTCCCGTCTCCATTGGCTTAAAACCCGGTTTTTATTCTATTCAAACATGAATGTGTAAATGAAACGAATTGGATTCTGAATTGATAAATTTGAGACTTGAATTTACTACCTTTTCAACAGCCAGTTTGCTTACATTCGTCTATAGCTTATCAAGAAAGCGATGCTACAAAGAAAAGATCGTTGCTAGAGTGAATTGGTGTTAAAATGACACTCTTTCTATATAAAGGTTGGGCACTCCTTAAGAAGTTTTAAATAACTCTATTTAGTCTATCAAATGATAAAAAAGGTACTTTTCATTGCACTATTTTATTGTTAACCCAAAAACTTAATATCGTAATATTTATAACAATATATTTATTACAGTATCACAAAACATATCTAAACAATTAGGTTAAAGACTACAGTTAAATTCTTGAAACAACTGCCATCTGATACTGACATACTCATCATGATTTAGTCATCTCCTGAGCATGGGAAGCTATCTTGAATCCCTTTGGATGCGTCAATTCTGTAGATCATCTTGTTATTTTGCCAAATTTTCAAACATCATGTGTTAAGTCATTATGCCTTATATTTTATTGCCCTGATGACAAATAATTTCCTGAAACAGCCTGGTATCTGAAGAAAACAATTCCGTCTTATACTGGAACACAGAATCTGTTGACCGACTTGAAATCTGGTTGTATTCTTACTTTATTTCACTTGCTGCCTTTCATCACTTTTACTAAGAGAAATCATAGGATGCTCAGTTTGCCACTCAGTAACTTTTAATATTTAGGCCTATGTCTCACGAACATTCACTTCCAAAACCTACCCCATAATAAATAAATAGAGTTCACAATATTTTAAATTGTCACTGTTCCTCGGAACCAGAAACTGATTCTTGTGCGGTAGATTTTGAAAAGTCTAAAGCTTCGTTGCTATCAGAATGTTCAACATCTTCGGTTGATGAAGGTTTGTTCTGTTCTTCATTTTCAACTGAAACCACATCAAGATCGTCTTCCATATCTTCCTCATCTGATTCGGGAAGCTGCTCTACCACAAACCCTATTGGCTGAGTAATAGGAAATAGTGGCATCATCCCGATACCTATGGGACCTAAAGATTTACACGCCTGAACTCGTGGGTATTTTGAATTCGGACGACGTCCACGTGGTACTTTTGACTTTTCTAATAAGCTAGCGATACTGTAAGGACTTTTAGAATTGTTTTCTACACCAGCTATATGCTGTCTATGAGATTCGTTATTGGTGAACATATCATTAGATTTATCCGATTCCGAGCCACTTTTACTCATCATCTCAAGTCTTGAAGTGATATTTAACGATTGTTTGTTCCCAAATGTGTTTCTTTTTTCTTCTAAACGACGTAACCGTTCTTCTTGTTTTCTTTGTTTTCTCAACAATCGTTCTTCTTCACGTCGTCTCACTTCCTCGGCATCCATTGGGTTGCCACTACAAGTATGTGGATGGGCATTATGTGCCGGACGCCCTGGACCTTTCTTTGTATTTTCCTTCTTTCGCCATTTAGCCCGTCGATTTTGAAACCAAACCTGAAGAGATTAAGAAAATACAAAATGATTATAACTTGAATTGTTTCAAAGAAAGAAAAGTATTAAGTGATTCGATTGAATAAAAACTGGTTAGTTTCTAATGTAAACATTTAAGAATCCGGGCAAATTGACCGATCAAATTAGACAATAAGAAATATTAAGAATAGTTCAAATTACCCTTAGAGAACGAATGTCAATATTTTGGATAGAGTGATCATTATCAGAATAAAGTCTATTTCGTGTCAAAATATTTTTATTCCATTTTTGGCGGCTTCTTTCAGGACATTAGACACACGCTGGGCGACATGATGCACGAGGCGAGGCGAGTTAATAACGACATTGATCGGAAAGCAAGCTGAATGAAGGATCGGATGTACATTTAATATGTTCTTGTATTGAATTTACAACACAATTAACGATGTAAAGAAACCTTTCAAACTGAGATTGACAAACAAGTGAACTGGTCGTGAGAAAACCATTAAACAAATTACTCATTTTATACATTTCATAATTGATTTGTCCTTTTTATTATTCCTATATTTGTCACAAATTGAGATATTATTTTTCTACGGTTTCCTTTAACAAGAATCGGTCTTCTGGAGAAAATAATAAAGTTAATTTTCTCCCTAGTCAAACTAATGTGTCATATTTAAATAAAAAAAAAACAGTTTCTAATACAAGATCATATCAAATTTATCAAAACTATCATTTAAAATACATTCTTTCGGTTTGTGATACTTTAAGTGATTTTATCGGATAAGATTTCTCGAAACGAAAGATAAACTTAAATACCTGTAATTTGGGTAGGAAATGAAGTTAATTTGAATGGGTATTATCACGAAAAGGGGCTCGTTAATTTTGTGATTTACGAGTGATTTTAAAGCAGATTGTTTTTCACCGTGACAATATTTTGTTGGTTAAAATATCAATTTTCAAACTTGTTCATTGTCAACATAATACAAGTCATTTCATACATTATAATACAATTATTGTACAGTAGTTTAGAGAAATTGAGAATGGGGAATATAAGTTAATAAATATATATTCTATAATAAAATTACTGTTTTTAAATCCTTTAATAGTCTTCTCATTTTCCATTCCTTGTCTTATTTACTTCTAATTTATTTCGTTTTCCAATACAAATAGTTTAAAGATTAGATCGACATCTTAAGAATATATATGTCATTCTTTGGTATTATAATAATCATTATTCTCCATTCAATAAATAAATAAAAGTAAATGCTCATGTATCATAAGAAGTAAGAAATACGAAGATACTATTACAGTACCGTAAAATCCTATTTTAAATTTTTGATAATTTTCTGTATCCAATGTAGAGATATCGGTTTAGAAAACCATAGAAGTATATACTGAACCCTTGGAGTAAACTTTGTGTTGAGTGTCTAGGCATAATTTGAAATTAAATTGTGTAAAATGATATCAAACTGTTGTAATTTAAAATTAAAATTTGGTAACTTTAAATTGAATTTTCTTAAACTGTTTGTCAAATTTCATAAGATATTTAACTTATTTTAATTCCAGCTATCAGCGTGATGAAAGGTATTGAATGTTGCACGTACATTGATGTAAGGTTGAAGAGAGAGTCAACATATCAGTGGCTACTGATTGCGAACACCCTGGAGTCTGAAACCCATTATTCCTCATTGTCAACGATCAGAGAAGATCAGTACACATTGCCCGATTGTTAAAAAACGTAATTTTTGATTGATCAAGGCACTAACAAGATGTAATAAATAAAGAGAAGTGATAACAAAATAAACTTCAGTTAGAAATTAATCAAGATACATTAAGCAGAGTGAATAGAAAGCATGGTGTGTGTAATTAGAACCTATACAAGATTTCTCTTGTCTCTCTGTAACTAATGTTTAATTACTGATGGCACACGAAATTTCATCAGCTTAATTTAAAGTCTGATCTCTTCTTTTTAATTGATTTTTATTCTTACAATATTTATTTTCTCTTAATACTATCTCCATGTTGGCTACTGACAATGCCCAGACAATTAAAAACATTAAAACTTCACTTAAATAGTCAATACTATAATGCCATAAGAATCGTTCATTTACTTAACTTAAAATCTACTTGAAAATTCACATTTCTAAAAGGTTACATTAGCCTTCCTCAAACAATCGACGAGATTTTAATTCATTATTCTATTCAGATTGTCCTTTAATTTCCATGTGGTTGACTCTTTTAATTACTTTGTCAAGTGATGGATTTTAATTAATCTAACTATGGAAATAAAATCAATGTAAAATGCTATTTACATTAATGGTAGATTTAGTGGTAAGATGTAAGACAAGGCTTAAAATGACACTCAAGCGAATCTCTAAAGACTTCAACCCATTATCTAACAACTACGTCCTTGACAGAAAAATCGATTCTAAAATTTTAACAAAATTTTAACAAAATTTTTAAGACGTTTGAACCCATTAAATTTTAAGATTTTATTCATTATTTTAAGTTAAAAAGGAATAAGGAAATTAACTGGTATTATTTTCTTTCGAAATGAAATTGCAAACTTTTGTAAATTCTTCGAAGCTTGACAATTGCAATCTTGCAAAAAATTCAGTACAGATAAGTGCAGATGTCCTTGATCTGCAATATTACTTTTTATTTAATTATAGACGAATATATTATATGTATATAATTTATATCAATTCAGATCCTTGCTTTTAAATCTGACTTTCTATTCCGATGGATTGAAAATCGTACATCTATTGTAATTTTCAAATAAACAAATTGTTGGGGTTACATTTTCTTATTTGATGTCGCAATATTTTCCGATATGTTAGGTTCAGTTAATTTTTAAACGAAAATGTACAATTTTTCCTGAAAATGTTCCACATGGATAATAAAAATACCAACCTGTACTCGGGATTCGACTAAATCTAATTTTAAAGCCAGTGCCTCTCTCATAAAAACATCGGGATAATGACTATCATTGAAGGCTTTCTCTAACTCTTCTAGCTGCCAACCTGTAAAGTTTGTTCTGGTACGTCTTCGTTTAGCTGCTGCACTTTCTCTATCATCATCTGAAATGAAACAGAACAGATCTAAATTGACACTATTTATTTACACTATTGTATTTCCGTGTGGAAAAGACATGAAATGTCGTAAATTTCATAACAACTATCTTGTATCGTTCAAAATAAAATCATGATCAAATAGGACAGGAAAAAGAGTAAACGCTTGAATTGTGTTAAAACATGACATGTTTACTAAATTTCATTTTTTAATTTTAAATCATATTTTGATAAATATGACGAATTGATTTAATGTTTGACAGAATTATCATTGAATAAAAATTATAATAAGAAATAATTCACAAAAGAATTCTCAGAGAAAATCTTGCATTTTATGAAAAAATTATATTTTGACCTGATACGTTATGCATATTTGCCGTGGAAAGAGTAAAATATTGTCGTCGTTGATATTAAATGCGAAAAAAATATTAAAATGCGTATTTTTAGAATTCGGTCGCAATATTTTATGACTCAAACGACAAAATATTGGTATCAATCATTATAAAAAGATCGTGAACGTTTATTTTTCAGGAAGAATAATTGTTTTTTTTATGAATGAGTTTGTAGCGATGGGAAAACATTCAAGGAATTTTATCTACATCTTAGCCTTGATATATCAAAAAATTCTTTGATTCCACAAATACACCTCCTCCTATAATATTTCTTCAATATGTTCATTTTTGAAAAATATTAATTCAGAGGAATTCAATAAATATATAAATCGCATATAGATTGAATAGAAATTGAATTGATTAATTAATAAAAAAAAACAATTCTTACCTCGGCCATTAAATTTTGATTCACAGTCAGAATTACCGTCACTGGATTCTGGAGATGCTCGTCCGTCTTTCATACTGGTAATTATTTTATCCATAGAAAAATTCATTTGTCCATGCCGATAAAAATTTGGATTCACAGTACAGTCCAATGCTCGTAACTGTTCCGGCGATGGAGCACGGAGAGCAGAAAATGGTGACACAAAATGCGGATAAGCCGACATGGCGGATATAGCAGCATAGCTCTGACTGATATGCGATTCCAACAGGCTCATTTGTAAATTCATAGTATCTAAGTTATGAGGAATATTGGTTAACATATCTTTCCTATATCACTCACAAATATTGAGATGATGTTTCCTTCAGATGCTCTGCCTATGAATAACTCGGAGAACAATTGACGAGCGATTTCAACCAATCAGATGATAGAAGGGCGGGGTTATGTCGATTTGTCGCCGATGGCATTTAACAGTAACGTTGTAGAAATGGCAAAACAAAAGCTAATGAAGTGAAATGACTTGATTAATGTTAAAGTATAATTGTATGCTAAGATATTGAGGGTAGTTGTGTACCCCAGGCCATTGACTCTCAAGTAATAGATTTAACACACAAGTTGGCTGCAGTAAAAAGTCAGGTGAACGATTAATCTATTTCAATGAAGTCTTCACACATTGCTCTTATTATTTGACACTTTAATATAATCTTCACCTAGATTTTTTTATTCAAATTTCATAAATTATTCATCGATTTCCTTTAACTTACATTAAATTATCGTTCACTTCAAATAATTGTTTACAAAATGTACTGGGAATTAGCGGAAGGAAGCTAACCAAGTCTATTAAAGAGAAAAAACAAAGTTCTACAAGAAAGTAGCTGGAAGCAAGAAGTTAGAGAAACATTCTGCGATTGATGCCGAAACGAAATAAACACTTTAGAATCTGTCATATTAGTTAGAATTCTAAATTACATTTTAAGTGCTTTAAAATTCAACACAATCTAAATAAAATGACATTAAAAGACTGGGGTATAATATAATTGAATATTGGGTAAAATAACTAGTTTCTAGAATAAATAATATTCTTCACATTATCTTACTTCCCCAGAAAATTCAATAAAAATTCTAGTTTTGAAAGGAATCAATGAGAAATACCAGGATTCCTGAACTCGTTGGTAGCACTCTATAAGTTAAATATCCCCCGGCATGCATCTTCAAATCTTATTAAATGGTTTTCTATACATGAATTAGTGAAGAATAACAAGCTTATTAAGAAATAATATTATGATCTATTAGGTGTCATAATTGACCAGATTCCGTTTAATATCATCAATTTATTATCGTCTTTTATAAATAACAGGAATGGGATGAAATCTGCCACACGATTCCACTGATCAGTATCAACATCTTGATTGTCTGGTATTTTTCAATTGAAGTCTGCATCCGTACTATTACATTTCCGTACCATAACGGACTCTTTTAGGGTTTATTACAGCCGTCCTTATTACTTTTCATATTGAATGTTCCATGAGGTTATAATATATTATATTTGTTCCATTAAAATTTAATATAATTTATATAGCTGTACCAAATTTTTGACATCTCTAGCCCGATATTGTATGGGAGTAACATTTCTTCCAAAATTGAGAGTAATACTTTCTGTAGTAAAAAGAAACATCAAAATTCATTTGTAACGAATTACTTTTCTATGAACCTACATAATGGGATGGACAAAATTGACTTCACAAAACATCTATGTTGATAATAAAAAAAAATCCAGCGAACCAAAGATATTGTTATGGTCTCCTTTCTAAGACATGATCTTACCAAATGATCTACAAATAGAAGCAGACTTAAAAAATTACTGCGGTTAAATTTGAGATTATTATGTGATTTCCAAAAATATCTAGTTTAAAACACAAGGATATAATATTTAGATTGATTATCATGAAAATTAATTTTTAAATGTAATATTTTTATTCCAATTATAACAATCATGATGAGTCAAGACATTTTAAATCTATCAGAACGTGTGCACCGAATTCAAGGAAGTAAAATGGAAAAATTGCAGGTTTCAATTGCTACTGATCCATCAATTTCATAAAGAAAACTATAAACCTCACATGTCACTATACTGCCATATAACATACTTCCTAGAGTGTCAGTGGCAATGTCACATTGTTTATACTTCCTACCATAAATACTCTTACTAATTGTTCTAATTGTCCGACACTGATCGCACTACAGGTGTGGGTATATATGGTTAAGGGGTGTTTTGTGACAGCTTAAAACCCAATTTACCGTTATAATGGCGACAATAAAAGCTTCCATTTAACAACTTCACGTTATAACTGTGACAAAAATATCGAAATTTCTTTTCAATGATTAACTTTAATGTAATTTCAATTCTCAATTTAATGGCTCGTTATTATAAGTTGAAATAGATATGTATAGCAATAATTAGTCAGATTTAAAACCAAATAAAATTCAGTTTCGGTGAAATGAAACGGAAAATGATAAGAAAAGGGTTAATTTAAAGGTATTTAGCCTATCTGTTCAATTGGGCAATTGGTATTATATGATCACCATTATCAATTGCATTGAAATTATAAAGCTATCTATACTAGAGGTGTATATAATAATACTAGGCCTATCTATTAGAGTATATCAGTAGCGGTATTGATAAAACGAAGGTGATGTAACACTCAGATGATGGTCGATGATGGGTTAATGATGAGATTTGGCAATATTACACCAGCGTAATAAGAACAATAGATTATAATACAATCATAACAACTGTCATAACCTAATAATCAACAATTGCTTCAGATATAATATATACCTATTAAGCTTCATATTAACCACTGTCATCAATGAGTGCCTGTCAATTTCATCCTTAACCCTACTAGAGCCAAATAATAATATCCTTATGATTTGATAGATCGATTATCACGTGACATACAAGGAATGATAACGTCATTAAGACATGTGTCATATCATGATGTTTAATTGGTGGCTACATGACATCAATATGTATTGATATGTATCAATTGACAGTTGCTACATAACTATTGAGAGATACGGTATAATACAAATATTGAACATATATTTAATAACTCACATTTATCAACTTATATAGGCCTAGCTTATTCAACAATACACCCTATTGTATTAGTATAGAATTGAAATAATATATTGCTTCAGAACAGGAAGAAGTTTTTATAAGATATGTGGTATATTTTTAATGGTTTCATTCCACGCGGTTGTTGAATTATATCTATGAAAGATGGATGGTGACAAACTGGTTGATTTGGCATCTTTCTGTTACCGACAAAAAGGTGAGTAAATATTATAAGATAGCTTTGCCAGGCAAGGTAACATATCCCCACTGGCAGTTTTGTTTGAATAATAAATAATGAAATGTTCAACTTTTAGCCTTACAAAAAACAAACTCCTACACAAGACAAAGTGAAATCACATATCAAAAGCAACAATTTAAAGTAAACACTATATTCAATAAGTTATTAGAATCAAGTAGTTTTTACAAAAAAAAAAAACAATCTCTTTAATCAAAAATAATAATTATAATCAAACATTTTATTCAAATACTGTAATCAAATGAAATGAATGGAGCTTTACGTCTTATTTTTCAGTTCCACGTGGGCTAATGACGACGGGCATCCAACGCCATGCAGGGCGCAATGAGGTAAATCTTTCGAGGACAGCGGCATAAGCCTGCTCTTTTTCGATTTCCAAATGTCGAGAGAAATTTAACGTGCTCAGCCTGTAGCACCTAGGGCCTCGATTTATTGTCCCATCCCAACAACTAAACGCCTTTTCCATGTCAGCCCCTCGTACCTGCAGCCCTGCCAGGAGGAATTCTATACTCAAATAAAAATAAAAAGAACCGAATCAAAATTGACAAACAGAATCAACCACATTTTATTGAAATGAACAAACATGATCAAATATATTATTCAAATCAACAAACAAAATCAAACAATTTATTCAAATCATCAAACATTTTATTCAAATCAGCAAACAGACTTAAAGACTATGTTTAAATCAACAAAAAGAATCATACGCTTTATTCAAATCACCGAAAAAATTCAAACGCATTATTTGAATCAACAAACAAAATGAATCATTTCATTCAAATCAACAAACATAACCAAGCACTTTGTTCAAATCAACAAAAGGAAATCAAACATTTCATTCAAATCAACAAACAAAATTAAA